CTATAAATGTGCTGATTGAGTTCCTGGCAGGATCGTGATGAAAACTCGATTGAAATATCGTTCATGGTGACGTTATTGTTGTTGTCCCATGCGCCTGCTCTGTACATGAAATTTCTGTCACGGTTTCTAAAATTAGTAAATAGCGTATTAGTATAAAAAGATTGTTGGCTAAATGGTATTATTCAGGATATCGAAATACATCAACAATCATCGGATATCAGTAAAATGCGCTTCAAGCCACGCCAACCGTTGTTTAAATTGAAAAGGGTACCAATCGATAGAGCTTTAAATTCGTTAGACACAATGGCGGTGTTTCTACCGTCTATGAGTAAAGTGGAACTTATTGAGGTCAAATGAAATCTCTTAATGCCAAACTAATAAGGTTCAAATATTAACGACTCTTGGCTTGTCCAGAGGACGATATTCGAATTTTAAGGTTTTACAGCGTATGTAGTATGTGCACAATTCAAAACTTTAGAAGAATATTTTTTTCTTTTGTGGAACTCACGTATGTTTTCGAAGAAAATAGTGAGTGTAAGTTTTCAGTTCGAGGTTGACGGCTCCCCCCCTCCATTACAGACACATAGCAACGGGAAAGAGAACATTACAGACATACCCCCCATTACAGACCTGGGCAACCGCGCATAGAAGGCTTTCGATCATATATAATATTGGGTTGATGCAAAAGTCTCTGCCGATTTTTTTAAAAATTTCTTAAAGCTCTCTAGCGCTACTATGCTTTCGTGATTTTCATACATATGATACCGCTTGTGTAGTACTATAAAATGACATTGGTTAATGTCCCAATTTATTTACATTCTTCATTAAAATATGTCAGAGATTCCTATTCATTTTCGACACTGCATTTTGTATGAGTTCCAATTAGGGAACAATGCAAGTGCAGCTGCCCGCAATATATCTGCTGCACTTGGTGAAGGTGCTGTTGCTGATCGAACGTGTCGAGATTGGTTTAAAAGATTTCGTGAAGGTGACATGTCATTAGAAGATCGTCCGAGATCTGGACACCCTCTCGAGTCTAATATTGAACGATTCAAAGTCCTGATCGAAGACAATACACGATTAACCACTCATGAATTGTCAGCAATGCTCGGGTGCAACCAATCCACCATTGATCGCCATTTGCGTAAAATGGAAAAAGTTAATAAACTTGGAACATGGGTTCCACATCAATTAACCTCGGACAACGTATAGCAAAGAATCACCATATGCAATTCTTTGTTATCAAAACGCAACCGACATAGATTTCTTCAGCAGATAGTTACTGGTGATGAAAAGTGAGTTCCATATGTCAACCATACGCGCAAGCGCCAGTGGGTAAATCCTGAAGATTTGCCCGGACCAGAACCAAAAAACGACCTGCACCGGAAAAAGGTGATGCTCTCAATTTGGTGGGATTTTCAAGGTATTATTTACTGGGAACTCCTTCCGCCTAACCCTACCGTCGATTCGAGCTATACTGCAAACAACTTCAAAATCTGAAGATTGCATTGCAAGCAAATCGTCCCGAAAAACGAGAAGTTCGACTACTTCATGACAATGCAAAACCTCATACGGCTAAGGTCACTCGCCAAAAGCTGGAAGAATTAGGCTGGGAGGTCCTACCTCATTCACCATATTCACCAGACTTGGCATCATCTGACTATCATTTGTTTCGATCGCTCCGCAATCATCTGGTCAAAAAACACTTCGATGATCAAGCCTACCTAAAATCGGACCTCGAAACTTATTTTGTGTCTTTGTCTGTGAAGTTCTTTGACGATGGTATTCTGGATTTGCCTAAAAGATGGGAGTATGTAATAGATAACAACGGTGTATATGTTGTTGATTGATGACATTTTGTTTCAATAAAATCTCGAAACCGAGAAGAAGAAAAAAATAGGCGGAGACTTTTGCATCAACCCAATATATTCTGATGAGTTCGACTTAAATTAATTATAAAGAAACAAAATTGATATGTCTTCTTTTAGATTCATGTGATAGAACAAAAAAAATGAGTTTGATTCAAACTTAGAAATTAAAATTATACTTCTATCTCTTATTTTAGGTTCACATGGTGAAATCAATACTGGTGAGTTCGGTATTGATTGATATACATAAAACATTATTCATATCTCTGTTCTAGGTTTTTGGGATACAATAAACCATAGTGAGCTCGGAACAAACTACTTAATAGGAAACAATATCGATATCACTTGTTTTGGATTCATCTGATAGAAAAAAAGAAATGGTGAGTTGGATTAAAACCTATAAGCTACAAGTACTATATCTTTTGTTTCAGGTTCACATAATAAAACATGTTGCGATGAGTTAGACATTAGTTAATTAAAAGAACACATTATTCATATCACTTTTTCAGGTTTTTGCGACACAATAAATAATGATGAGTTCGGTATAAATTACTTCATAGTAAACCAAATTCATATCTTTAGTTGTAGATTCACGTGATAGAAAAAAATGATGAGTTCTATTTAAGTCTATAAACTAAAAGAATTATTTTTATCTCTTATTTCAGATTCATATGATCAAGTAAATACTGATGAGTTCGATATTAATCACTTAATAAAGAATATTATTCATATTTATTTTTTAGGTATTTGTGACACATTAAAATCATGGTGATTTCGATATAAATCAAATAATACGAAACAATATTAATATATCTTGTTTTAGATTCATGAGATACAACAAAAGAATGATAAGTTCGATTTAATCCTATAAACTAGGAATTATATTTATATCTCTCGTTTCAGGTGCATATGATAAAATGGCTGCTGGTGAATTCGATATTAAATAAATAATAGAGAATATTACTAATATATTATTTTTTACGTTTTTCCCATATAATAAATCATGGTGAGTTCGATAAAATTACTTATTAGAAAGCAATATTGATGTCTCTTATTTTAGAGTCGTGTAATAGAACTAAAAGAGTGGTGCGTTCGATTTAAACTTATAGGTTAGAACTTATATTTATATCACTTGTTTCAAATTCACATGATAAAATGAATACTGATGAGTTCGGTATTAATTAATTCATAGATCACCCTATACGTATCTCTTTCTTAGATTTTTTTCATACAATAAATCATGGTGAGTTCGATATAAATCAATTAATTGCAAACAATATTGATATCTCTTGTTTTAGATTCATGTAATAGAATAAAAGAATGGTAAGTTGGATTAAAACCTATAAACGAAAAGTATTATTTATATCGTCTTTTTTTCAGGTTCGCATGATAAAATGAATACTGGTAAGTTGGATATTAATTAATTAATTAACAGAAAACATATTTCATATAGCTTTTTTAGGTTTTTGTGACATAATAAATAATGGTGAGTTCGATATAAATTAAATAATAAGAAAGAATATTCTTTCTCTTGTTTTAGATTCATGTAATAGAATAAAAGAATGGTGAGTTGAATTTAAACCAATAAATAAGCAATTAAATTTATATCACTTGTTTCAGGTTCACATGATAAAATAAGTACTGGTGAGTTCGATATTAATTAATTAATAGAAAATATTATTCATATTTCTTTTTTAGGTGTTTGCGATACAAGAAATGATGGTGAGTTAAATATTAGCTAATTAATAGACAATAATACTGACACTCTCTGTTTTAGATTCAAGTGATAAAATTTAAAAAAATGGTGAGTTGAGTTAAAATCTATAAACTAAAAGTATTATTTCTGTTTCTTATTTCAGGTTCACGTGACCAAGTAAATACTGGTGAGTTCGATATTAATCAATTAATAGAAGACATTATTCATACTTCTTTTTTAGGTGTTTGCGATACAAGAAATGATGGTGAGTTAGATATTAACTAATTAACAGACAACAATATTTGTACTCCCTGTTTTAGATTCATCTGATAGAATAAAAGAATGCCGAGTTGGATTAAAGCCAATAAATAAGAAATTAAATTTATATCTCTTGTTTCAGGTTCACATGATAAAATGAATACTGGTGAGTTCCATATTAATTAATTAACAGAAAACATTATTCATGTCTATTTCATAGCTTTTTGTTGTATTATAAATCATGGTGAGTTCGACATAAATTAAGTTAGAAGAAACAATATTGATGTATCTTGTTTTAGATTCATGTGATAGAATAAGGGCGGGTGTGGGTGTGGATGTGTGAGGATGGGCACCGTATTTGAGTACAACAACACCCACACCCAAACCCACGCCCACACACTCACACCCACACCCACACCCACACCCACAGCCACACCCACCCACACCCACACCCTCAAGTTGAGAATGCCTGCAAAGGAGAACATTGACTTTATTTTTAAGAAAAGAAAGGGCAAAAAAAGAAAAGCTTCCATCGGAAGGAAGAATATGCTTGCTGATTGTTAGAGTTATGTTAGTGTCGGTTTACTTAAAATCCGCACAATTTGATCAAAAAATCTAATCATACTATGTTCATCACCACCGAGCTTGATTTCATTCCGGAGTTCACCGATCAACTCCTTGTTTCTCTCAAGTAAATCGATATCGGTGTTAATACCACGTATATCGTGCACGTTGTCTTCCAATATACCGAGTAGTGACAACATAGAACTGTGGAGCTCATCATGGATGTCATCAAATTGGATTGCCTTTTTTCGCAATAGTCTGGCTTGGCGCCGAGCTTCATCATGTTGTAACTTGGCTATGTTATTGTGGACAGTGAATGAAATTTGCTGCTCTTGCTTTACATACATTGGTTGAGATCTAAACTCTTCATGACATTTATGATTGCCGTAGTTCGAATTCGGTACACGCTTTGAACTTAATTCGAAATCAGAATTCAATTTGCTCTTTGGCCCACTACTAGGATTTTTCGATGATGTCATTGGATGATGTCCTGATGATTCCAAGTTAGCGAAGCCAGTGTTGTTTTTGATGCCAAAATTTATATGAGGAGGAACAGTCGGCATAGTATCACTTGGGTTATGTCTTAAAAATGAGCCTGAATCATGTCCACCATAATTGATTCTTGTAGACCCACCATTATAATCCATGTGTCTGGGTAAACGAGCTATTGCAGTGTAGTATCCATTCGATGATAAAGATTTGAAACGTGAATTCTGGCTGCTAGCTGAAAGTGCTCGTTGACGTGGTTTCGAAGACTCTACCTCCTCCCACTTGAAAGCAGTGATACTCGTCTGCTTCTCCCAGATTGCGTTGGCCGCTATAGTCTTATCTGCTCCTTCCACTCCATCGGCCGCGATCCGTTGATACCGTTTGACCTTGAGTAGATCTATCATCTGTTGAATCGAAGTAACGATACACTCATGAATGTAACTTTGTCTCATGGCTGCCATTTTGAATGCATCTGTCGAAATATTATCGAATTGGGAGAGACTAGGAACGAGTTTGTCCAGGGTACTCATTGCGTCTTCAAAGTCTCGTCGCAGATTCCTAATCATTTTGCTTTTGTGTGTTATTCGATCCCAACAGAAGAGACTATTTTGCAAGTAGAAGGTATTTCTTTCGTTGACCTTGAGATCTCTGTGAATGACCTGTGAGCTGAGATTACAGCTTGTATCGTCGCAATTAGTCAATACGACACACATATTTTTCATGAAGCTATTCGGCCAAACTTGATGAAGCAGTCGCATAAAATGTAGAAAAGACGTACCGAGGCGAGCCATAGCTCCGTTTGCGATAATAATAATACCACTCAAATATGAAATGTGCTGGAGCGTCTGTTCGATCTCATGTAATGCGTTGTCATCTTTAGAGACACCGTCCGAATCATTGAAGCCAGGTGTATCGATGAGTTCAATAGTAAGGTTGTCGAAGTGAAGCTTATACAATTGGCAAGTCATTGTTTGACTTTTTGTTGAATCGTTAATGTCTCGCTCTGACGATTTCTCGTCACTCTTCGTTCGATCTAGCCAATACTTGCATGGAATAGCGAGTCGAACATTTTTTTGCTCTTCGTCGAAAATATTGTCTGGATCTCGTGTGCCATAACAATAGTTGTAAAAACTATTGACGAATGACGACTTGCCAGCGCCAGATTCTCCAAGAAGGATGAAACGTTTCACACTAGTTGACATCTTAGCTCGTGGTTAAAAGAAAAGAGTAATGAATCAAATCTTTTGATATTCGAACAATTGAATGAAACCAATGGGTAGACGTCGCCTTGTTATATAGTAACTGCTTTTGGGTAATTGTTTTGGTATTAATAATTT